CTCGCAATCAAAATTTTATTGATCTACTATTTCATGAATTTATGTTAATAACTTTGGTATCGATCTTTAGATTATAATTCAAATTTTATTTCTATACATTAATCATATTAAAAGTAAATATTAAAAAAAAACACAGATAAACATCGATTTTTGTTTGTTATGTGGTATGTTGAATGCAGCACTGGTTCAAATTAGATGTTTGTGAAGTCATAATACTAAGTCTGTAGTTTCGAACGAATTAGACAGACAAATTACCGATATTTACAAGCTATAATTTAAAATAAGAACCTCTTTTCTTTTTAATTTGCTAAGATATTGCTCATGTTAGAAATCAAACACTGGCACCCCGCCCACCTCTTTCCATTTTTGGAAACGCTCTCTTATACACGCACTTACATCTATATATATGACATGAATAACCAATCGGAAGCTTAGAATGTCCCCTTTGTGGCTTTCTCAGCCGTTTTAACGGACTTAGCGCTATATCTTTCTTTTGAACCAAGATTTCAACACGGTTAAGGTGTGTCTTTAGTCTGCTCAAAATTACATATTTTTTAGACTAAAATACATCTTGATAAATTATAGTGGAATTCTTTGGTATTAATGTAATAATTTATGATTTTTTAGTTATTCAAATGTATATTTGAAAACTAAAAAAATATTTTGTTTCATATCCTCCACGTGCAATTTATTTAAAGTCTTAGCAACCTACGTCTAGCAACAACCGAGTACAAAGGTCGTAACAAGAAGAGATAATTGTTTGCTTTACTTCTTTATTTACTGTTCTATGTTTTAGGAAAAATAACTTTAAGAAATTATTTCAAAATAGCAATAATCTATATACATATATAATGTATATTAATTTAAATTTGACTGTATTTTACAAAATACTAGTCTATTAAAACACAACCAAGACAAGTTACTTTCACCGAACAAAGGTCAGTTTTATGTTATTTGATACGGTAACATGAGTGCACGTGAGCTGCGTTATTGTAACATGTGTATTGTTAGCCAGACACGGCTGAAAGGTCAATATAATAAAAATAATAAATATATAATGTTATGAGATTTAAGCTGTTTAATCTAACTATTTATGTTTTCCTGTTATAATCTGTGTTCATCCTCGAATGAAACAGGCATAATTTATATTTATTTCCTATTTTTTTTATGTTGATTGCGAGATCGGTCAAATCTACCGAACCCTTACATAGATTAATTACTGGAAATATAAAGTTTTTTGTTTAGAAACGTTTGGTATCTATCTCGACATTATAAAGATTTCGCATGGGAAGTTTCAAAATATTTTGA